TTTCGCCTCAGTACTTTACCATAATGTTATATGGCCTTTGGTGTCTGGCACATTTGTTTATATTAACAATTACCTAACCTGTGACAAAATGACTAAAATGCATGCTCGAAAATATGTTATAAAGAGATGGCTGACAAACATGTGTCGCTTGGTCAACAACTAGTGATATCAATAGGTGTAGTAGTTACACTAAAAAGGGTGAAAAATACACTTATTATACATATATGAAATATTTGTGTAATACAGAAATATGCATTCATGTAGTATATGAATAATTTCGAATGGGTAATCCTAATCAAATTGATTTTCATGAAGACTAAATTATCATACATATGTAGCAAATAAACAGTATATAATTAAATGTGTTACCTAACACCCATTTGAGTGCTGCTATACTACTTCTTACCACCCTTTATACACCCTTGAGTAAGGATAATAAAAAGTGGAATATAACCCAAATATATTCACGCATATAGGCGACTGGAAAACAGATTTTCACTCCACTGTCTCCGGTTATAAGAATAATACGTCCAATTTTACGTGTAACTTCCCTTTTTGTAAACTTCAACTTATTTCAGTATTATATCAATTGGTGATTATAAACACATGAAATAACTTCATACATTTAATGGGTTACTTACTTATACAAGTGAATTTCCTCGTCTCCTGACCAAAATTAGGAAAATCTACCAAAAATAAATCCTCACGAATGCCCACGTTCGACGACAGTTAGTACTGAACTGCGGCACAAATGCCACACAAGCGCCCCGGCCTCTCCTGGCCGTCCCGACCCAGCACAGAGTACAGTGGTGCCCTTGTTTACAAGGAAGTCCTATACAGTTTCACCCGTATGTCCCCGAGACCAGTGTCTATAGTGCCATGTAAAACAATAAAGGCTTATCCCTCCATAGGACAAACACCACAATCTGTAGCTTCAATGGAGTGTGAACTACATTCCATCTACCATACAATCACTGAAATAAAAACAAATCCATAGTATATATTGGTCTTACCAGTTCAGGATTGCCGATAAATTAACATTCCATTAAAAAAATCAAAATATTTCGTACAGTCACACTTGCAAACATCGTGATGCCCAATAGGTTGCCATATACGTATTTTCGTGTTGATGGGCCATAAAAAACCTTGCTTTATTGATGATTGTAATATAATGGTTAAAACATGTAGGTACAACCGGTATAGTCAATTCAGAAAGTGTCATGAAAGTAGCAACTAAGTTTATTCCTCTCAGCCTGTTCTTAAGGTTACCCAAGCAACTTAATCGAAATTAGTCTATTAAGCTTGTCGCCCACCAGATTGGAAACGACGCGTCGGAACGGACACACGGAAAAAAATCTAAACCATACATTTGAACGAGCTAACGCCCACCTGATCGGATCGGAAACGAAACGACGCGTCGGATCGGAACGGAAACGACGCGGATATCTTGGAAAGAATATTTTTCTGATGCTTCCGATGCGTCCGAGAGACTGCACATGCGCAGAACGGTGTTTGGAGAGGAGGTGATGCATGAGCGTGGTTGTGACGGGCAAACACCACTTACGTGTGGTGTGATAGAGGTGTACATAAGTTGTATGCATGAGTGAGTTGTTACGCCTTTTGTGTCAGCTGTCTATGGTGGTGGGGTAGCGGTGGAGCCAACGGTCACCCACTTATATATATATATATATATATATATATATATATATATATATATATATATATACATATATATATACATATATATATACATATATATATATATGTTTATATATATATATTTATCTATACATACATATATATATATATATATATATATATATATATATATATATATATATATATAGCACCCGCGTCGTTTCCGATCCGTCTGAGCTGGTGGGCGTACTCTACGTCGTGTCGTGTCCGTTCCGAGGCTTCGTAAGCTTCCGCGGCGTTTCCGATCCGATCTGGTGGGCGACAAGCTTTATACTACGTAAACAAAAGACTTTTCTTTATAACTGTGTTTTTCATTTTTGTATACATTACCCATTCAGAAATATGCTATATGTCTTTACAATTATTCGTCTGTTAAATTTCCCTTTTCCTTTCATTTCATAAACACCCGACTTTCGACGTTATTTAGTCTAAATACTTATGCGTTTGATATAGAAAAGCGTCTGCAACACATTGCATTTTGACGGCGGAAGTTGAGATCCCAATGCCTATTACTAATTTTAGCCCAGTATCTAGTTCCAAAGTGTATCTGATTTTGTGCATTTTCATGACACACCCATTCTTGACTTGAAATGGTTATTGTATTTATGAGCATCAAAACTAAATAGATATATGCTAAACCTCAAGATTTTCACATTATAATGTCCTAGATAAATTAATTAATAAAGGCACACACACACACACATACACACACACACACACACACACACACACACACACACACACACACACACACACACACACACACACACACACACATACACACACACACATACACACATGCATATATATATATATATATATATATATATATATATATATATATATATATATATATATATATATATATCAGAAACTTTGGAAGAAAAAATCTAAATGTACACGGCGCGTCTAAAATAGTATAAATTTTGGCGACTGACAACCATGACGTCGGACGCAGACAAACAACGAAGATTAAACAAAACGTTCTGCTCAAGGTCTGAAGCTTCCTCTTGATACCTATATTTACTTCTCTCTTTCGAGTCTTGCGTTTCAAATACAAAATGTTTATAATACATACAGTATATGACACGGAAAGGGGAATTCTTGTCTTACATAAAATTCAATGTTCCTTTAAGCGGTTTGCTTATTCTGTGAAATTGAAGATGTAGTCTTGTAATTGCCTCTGTAAGTGATGAATTAATTCTACCTGTCATTTAGCCTCAGCACAGTTCCAGCGATTTAATAATAGCGGATATACGAACTGTTCAATAAGGTTAATCCTCGCATTTCGAGTGTCTTCTGAATTAATGAATTGCATTCATATTATATTCGTTTGTTAATGCTATTCATGCTTTAATCTTTTGTAAGACCTTTACTCTCAGTTTGGTTGGGGCCTCCAAGTCAAGGTCTATATAAGTACAGTAGTATATTTATATAAATATACTTATATAGACCTTGCTTCAAGTTGCCATGCTGTCTACTTCTGGCTATAAGCTATAGAACGGTAAGTCTCAATTGAAAAGTTTATTTCAACCATTCATTTTATATCATATTTCATGCAAAAGTATACCCATATTTTGCCATACTTTTGTATATCAGAATGTGTGTCTTTTATACCAGCCTCTTCTAAGAGATTCAAATTTAGCCGTCGAGATAGTTGTTTCCTTAATAAATACGATTTTTTAGTTGAGTATTTCTAAAAGCATTGCCTCTCACTATTTCTGTTTTTTTTGTTGTTGTTGTTGTTGTTGTTGTTGTGGCTGTTGTTTTTGTGGAGAGTTTATGACAGGCAATTTTTACGTACTATGATGAAAGTGTTATCCTATTTAATGACATTTACTCATAAGTTGTTAAGTGGCCGTTGAGAGCAAAGTTCAGACAATAAGCCATTACCTCAGCAGAATGTATTGCTTGATACGACAGGGGAATTAGACGAAATAAAGGATATGCTGTTGAGAGCCATTGTATATGAAGAATGCTGACATAAGGAAACGCATTTCTTTGGGCAGATGCTCGGCATTCGAAAAAAATAGAAATTAAAGATCGTTTCCTTGCTTCGGGAAATTTTGAGAGTAAGGGTGATCATGTTTCGCATAAATGTATTATCAAAATGCTTCGTAGATGTTGATATCGTTTAATTATGGGTGAGAAATCAAGATGCGCAAGGTAAAATATGTAACAACTATTATTCAGTTCTATTTGAATAATAAAGGTCTATAGTCCCATGCTCGTGCGTATGTCCTCCACTATAGTAATAGAAGTCTATAGTCCCGTGATTGTGCCTAAGTCCACTCCACCATTTCTAAAAAGATAAGCCTCTAAGTGTAATGTTCTAAAATCCAATTCCTAAGTCTAAGTCTAAGACTAAAGGACACTCCTGGAAGTGTTTGCTGATCCACCACACACGCACATCTGGCGCAGGGGTCCTCGGCACGCAATCTTCCGCGTCGCTGAGATGGAAACACTTTACCGACATCGCCTCCTCTGTGCCATCGCGGGATCAGTGCATCTTTAATGGGTCTCTATGTAGAGGCTTTTTTGTACGAAATATTCGTACTGACATCAGTTGCATGTTATAGGGTGTATTGATGTGTATTTACAGTATTACAGTATGGAAGTACACCGATGCCTGTGTGTGTGTGTGTGTGTGTGTGTGTGTGTGTGTGTGTGTGTGTGTGTGTGTGTGTGTGCGTGTGTGTGTGTGTGTGTGTGTGTGCGTGGTGGTGTGTGGTGTGTGTGTGTGTGTGTGTGTGTGTGTGTGTGTGCATGTGTGTGTGTATGTGTGCGTGTGCGTCTTTCTCTTCGGTTTTGTTGGGCTAGTGACTGTCAACTACCCCAACGTGGAATAACTATTGAGGAGAGTCTGCGAGCGCCTCTAATCTTGCGTGCTTTCGTTACTTAGATCACCATTATAACTTCAACACCGAGATCGCCACTTTTGGGTTATGTCACCTTCAGTAAAAAAGAAAGAAAGAAAAAAAAAACGTTAACTGAGATAAGCCTTCGTCTCCCCAGCATATTATTGGTAGACAGTGATGGAAGCAGAGACGGGAAACGTAGAATCACTGTTATACTTACTGGAGATTTCACAGTAGAAAAACCAGGATTTGCTCGCCGTGACTGCTGAGTACTGAATGCCGTGGTTGTCTTCGGGGAGGCGGGCAGGCTAACACTCTACACAAGTGGAAACATAACAAAGCCTTATAAGGAAATTCGAGGGAATTAGATATGCGGTGACGTTGGACGACTTTTTGTTTTGTTTTGTTTTTTCTGTGTAGAATTTCTTGGCCTGAGTTATGGACGGAGAACCCAAAAGCCGTTACGACGTCTGAGATCGAATTATCGGTCTGAAGGGACGTGTCGGCGAGAACAAAGAACGCGGGAACATGGAAACGATGTACATTTCACTTTTAATGCCTTAATGATATCTGATAACTCAGCCTTTCTCCCCCTCCCCTCTCTCTCTCTCTCTTTCTCTGTCTCTTTCTGTCTCGGTCTGTCTCTCTCTCTCTCTCTCTCTCTCTCTCTTTCTCTCTCTTTCTCTGTCTCTCTCTGGCTCTGTCTGTCTGTCTGTCTCTCTCCTCTCCTCTCCTTCTCTCTCTCTCTCTCTCTCTCTCTCTCTCTCTCTCTCTCTCTCTCTCTCTCTCTCTTTCATCTTTTGGATTTACATTTTCTTGCAGACCAAATATTATATAAGCAATACACTTTCCTCTTTTGCTAATTAAACGCCATTTTCGTTTAAGCAACCTACCTAAAAATAACGACACAAATCAAATTATTCAGAATTATAAAAAAGAACTCGAAATGTATGAAGATTCACGTAAGTCCACGAAAAACTCTAAAATGTTATTATAATCAAGTTGCTAATGAGAAAGGCACACTATCAGCTGTTCATATGTACACCGGTCTTCATCAGGTGTAGTGTTATCTGTCGTATGTTGTTCCAGTCGACAAACTCGCTCCGCTACCTTAGAGTTTCGGCGATAATAGAGGTTCTGAGACGTTTCTCTCTTTCTCCCTCTCAATCTTTTTCTGTCTGTCGATTTGCCTGTCTCTATCTGTCTGTCTGTCTATCTATCTATCTCTCGCCTCTCCCTCCCCCTCCCTTTCTCCTTCTCCACCCTCCCCCGCTCTCTCTCTCTCTCTCCCTCGTGTAACTAGACTCCATACTTTATCAAAAGAGCCGACCTGGTCTTGTCTCTCTGAGATGTACAGGTAGTCGGAACTCGCCTCTCGTTATTCTGGTAGATTTTCCAGGAAACAGGTGTTTTACCGGGGGGGGGGAAATCAGGTAAGTATACATATCACATAATTAGCGAAATTAAATTAGAATGTCAATGGATACTAAATGGCTGGGAGAAGAATGTGATGATTTGCAAATGTTCCAAGCGAGGACAGATTGCTGAGCTAGTGATAAGATCTCAAAAAGGCTTCCTGTTCATCGTACTGAGAGAAAGTATGAGCGCCTACTACACATAGGAAGTATGAGTACCTATAACACATGGGAAGATAACGGATACATATGTGATATAGCATACGGTATCGTAGTCTGAAATTACACTGTTAAAATAAGTTATAAGTTCCTCTTTCTCTCTCTTCTCTTCTCTTCTCTGCTCTCAGTGGTGCTTCCCCTGCTTTTCTTCTCCCCTCTTTCTCATTTCTTTTTCTTTTGTGTGTGTGTCCATGATTTACAAATGGATAAATCAGTGCTTGTTTCGGGATTATAGTCACAAACAAGATAAACATATCATATGACTTTATTGTTTTATCAATATCAATACAAATAAATTATTAATTCTAATTTGTACGCAGTGTAAATTATCAAACAACAATCTTGTACACAAAGTGGATCTCATACTCATAACAACTTCACACAAACATTCACTACATGCAAATTACCTTTGCAATCCGTAGCTCGGACAGTAGCATGTATCTGCGACCCCCTCCCCCATTAAAAACACACACCCGCTACCGAAGTAACCGGATTTTTCCTTAATAAGGGATCACTGTAAATCTTCCCAGGTTGATTTGAACTCTAAAGGAAACGTATTCATGTAATCTCTGGGATTTGTAAAGTCTCCCATTTTGAAATCTAAGAACACCCTACATCTTCGCCACCGAATGCAAATCGACATACAAAAATACAAACTGAATAAATAGATATACAAACTGTAATATATATTATTTACACATTTCTGCCTCAACGAGGGAACGCATACAAACATCATATTAAAAACAGAACATAAACACCATCTTCTGCCTTCCAGCTCCCAGTATCTTCCAAAGACAAATATCACTTGCATTTTTCTTTGCGAATTTTTCTAAGTATCCATGAGGTGTATTCTGCAACGTTGGTGTTGACGCCCGGATATCCAGGCACTGCACACCGCTCTCCAAACGAGACAATGCCAAGCTGAAAGAGTGATTATTAGTTTATAAGTTTAAAAACAATAGAAGCAGTTTCCATACTAAGAAGCAAGTTCTTTCTTCGAAGTACCGTCTCAAAATCTGTGAACACAACTCTTTGTAAATATAAGGATACCCAAGACGCTATAAAATGCTCCCTGAAAACAGAGAAACCAATCTCAGACTAGCAGATGGAGGAACATCAATTTATAAAAATGAGTCTAACAAATTCATAAAAAACATAATAACGACACAAAGAGAACAGCCACTAACCTGGTACCACCGTGTCCCCAGCTGCATGACAACAGGCCCCCCAGAATCCCCGAGGCAGGAGTCCACGCCCGGAGCAGCTGTGCACATCTAGGAAGAAAAATGCTGTTCGTCAGGTCTTCATCT